ACTACCTTTGGTAGAACCATACAGGTAGTCAAATATAAGACGTTTTTAATCCAGAGACAGAGAAACTGAATAAATTCATATTTGGCGGTTAATGTCGCGAGAGTTACGTCATAGACGATGTGACGTCAACTTGGGTCATTTGCATAACTAGGTCAATAGTGCCTTTCATTGACGACGTGGTGGCCAAGTGATGCATTTACTAAAATCAATGTCAATGATCGGAATAATAGGATAAAATCGTTAGAGGATTACATATTTAATTACAGATATTCATGGATAATCAACAGAGTTTAATTTTTTTCACTGGAACAACACGAAATTAAGGAAAATAGACTGTTATTGTTCTGAATGGCTAAAAAAACGTGGATCAACTCAATATTCATTACATACGGACGTGAAAGTTATTTATTTGTTGTTCATGTTTATGTTGATGGATCCAATGTAACAACCATGGAATACTGGCATTTGTGGAACAGTGTCATAGTTGCTGAACAACTCATTAAAGTTTATCCCAGAGAGTTGATTTCTAAACTCTGTCATTTGCGTTACTTGTGAAGTGGACGCCACCATTGTTGAGGATCTAGCCGGAGTGGGAAGTGCCAACGGTTGAACAGGTGAAGGTAATGTTAGTTGTTGATTTGGGGCAGGCAAGGCATTTGCATCAGGATCTCTTCCATTCATTGCAGCATCAATCATCTGTCCCATTTGAAATTTTGCCTTGTCGGAAGTTCTTTGATATATTGCCAAACTCGAGACACTTTTGTGGCCAGTGACAGACATGATTTGAGCATCAGCAAAGTACCTGCTTTCTGTTAGAATAGTTGCACCGGTCGCTCGGATTGAATGGTTAGTGTAAACTTGTGATAACGAACAAAGTTTACTTAACTTATTCATAAATTGAGCCAAAGTGTCACGACCAACTGGAGAATTACAATACCAAGTAGCAGAATCTTCATAAAAGGATCCCAGTGGTCTTTGCCATAACCTGTTGCATTTAGGATGCAATTTTGAAATGTATTTCTGAAAAGCTGCCACTGGACAAGACGGACTATCAGGTTGCTCTGGCATAATTGCAGTGACATTTTCCTTGTCACTGAAGCGGTGATTCTTGGTAAGTTCGTCCATTTCTTTTGTAACGTACTTTGTTTTTGTTTTTGGATCTGTTTTGACGATAAAAGTGTCTTTTGTCATCTTATCCATATTTTCAGCCCCTCGTCTAAAGAAGTACATTCTTATGTCAAATTGTACTTTATTTAATAAACCAGTAGGGGAGCTTGGTTGCATGAAAGTTGAAGAGTACAATTTTGTCCTGTCAATTTCTGATATTATTGGAAAGTGCTGTGTGGCTCCTTTTCCGTTGGCTTTTAATTCTGTAAGGGCTGTTTTAAATACTTGATTTGATTCATTAAAGTCTTCATGCTTCATTATGTCAAATTCCTTTAAAAAGGGGGGAGCCTTAAGATATCTATTCAGAGAGTACCGGAATGAATCAAGTGAATTGACTTTATACATTTCTCCATCAGGTTTACGGGCGTCAAGATAAAAATGTTTCAGAACATCATTTAGCCGACTAGGACTATACTGTTCAAAGTGTGTGTCTTCATTTTTCTCAGAGAGATATTCTCGTAGCAAATTACCAGCCCTTTTGTTTGCTTTTTCTGTTGATGACGCAATGTTTTTAGATCTTTTGTCAAGAATTTCATTCTCCGTGTGGGAAGCAAAACGCTTTGCCATTTTCAATATGGACGCCGTCAGCGTATAAACGCGCGTGCCGTCCCCCGGGTAAATGGATAGCAACGTCCGGGGATATGGGTTAGCAACACCCAGGGGCTATGGGTTTTGTAACGACGTGCGTTAACCAATCAAAATCCTAGAAATATACTAAGCCGGGGATAAAAATTCTATAAAGCTTAACTATTTAGATTTCATAGAAGAGCTGTTTATCCAAGTGCTCTGTCGGATTTCACGGTATTGACGCAATAGCGTGCTTAACGTCTTAACGAAGTATTTATGAACAGTAGAATAATAACTTTAAAAAGATTTTGAACAAAGTTCATTCAGATTTATGTTTAAATTCATTGGATACGCACGTCTTTCTTGCAGTGGTATTGAAAGGATATTTATTTGTGTCTTTTAGTGGTATTTCGAGAGAGTAGTATATATGCATATATGTTAATGGATTATGTGTGTTTTTCGTTTGATAAATATTGGATGTAGAATCGTCTGCGAAAAGTGAAATGATACAACTAGAATGAATTTCCAAGTATGTATCACTCTAGTATAGGTTATTTAACTAATAACAGTGTGCTCGATTTTAAGTCATATCGAAAACAAAATGTGATTCTATATTTCAAACCATTTTATTCGACGAAATAAAATAAAACAAGAAAACAGTATTTAAATACAAGCAAATTGAAAGTATTTCATTCTTCTCTATTATCAGAAAGGAAGCAAAAAAGTTTTAGAAACAAAAATCCGCATGATTAAAAGCATTTCTGGATTCCGTTTTGTATGTATTTAACTTAAGTAGACAACTACCTATTAATTTCATTTAAACATTTATTTCAAGATTAACGCCGTTTATTTGCACTGCCGATATAACTGTTATATTTGCCACTGGACATATAACAACAGTGAATGGATTCGATTTTGTAACGCGTTTCTGTTGAAAATTGAATAAAAACCCCTCCCATTATTTAACACAATCCTTATTCAAATGGTATCCATACCCCTTTAATTTTATTCATTAGTACTATATCAAATTATAACAACGAACAATCAAATAAAATACCGAATACGCCATTTTGACCATTTCAGTTTCTTGAACTATTTATTCTATTAAACCACAATATTATTGTAGAAACTATCCGAGTAATTTTTGTGTTTTTAATTTATATATAAAAATGCAACAAACGATTTTTGCTGTACAAAATAAAAATATTTCAAGGAAATGATATCTTAAACGCTAAAATTAAAATCAAATCTTTATGTGAAATATATTTTTCTCTTATTTTCATCGTTAAGCAACCAACAATCAATCAATCAATCTTATTTTCATTATTGATATAATGTTAATGTGTTCAATATTACAATAAAATTCACTGACTCACACACACAGTTAACACATTTGATATTTTGTAGATGCACAGAAGAGGAATGGGACTCAAGAGAAATTATTCGTTTTTACCCACTTGGATACTATCCGTGACAAAAATTCAGCCAAGATTTGCATCGGAAAACAAATTATGGATTATATTGTTGAATTTTAGTGAATATGATACTATATTTACACGATGGAATTACGACTCGCAAATAAAAGCTGTTTGTTAATAATGAGATATTTAGTGTTCATTGTATTACTACGATCCCAATTTAAAAAAAATCCAGTATCAGTCGTTTTAGTAAGATTTCATCTTCATTCAATATCGCGTTACGTCCTTTAGACTTATTTCCATGGGTGATCACTTTTTAAGAAAGTGCTCATGGAAATATCCAAAGGGCAAAACGTCCGGATGAATGAAGACGAACACTACAAAATAACTCTCCATTCCTGAAAAATAATGGAGAGTTTGAACAAAAGATTTACGTCACAGGTGTATTTTAAAATGAAATAATGAACAATATCGAATGCAATTATCGATTTGATAAGGCGGGTAATTACACGTGACAAATCTAATTGATGCGTTGTTTATCAAATGTGGATCGGGGATAATAGGACAGGGAAGACAGTAATTCTTTACATGTCTTTCCGACATGAATTGCTATCTGGTATATAATTTTGGTTAACGATATCCTTCGATACTGAAATATTACCTTGGACAGTAAATTGTAGGGCTGACTAACATTCAAATATTATGGAAATATGTAAAATTGTAAATGCGAATTCCAGTGGGGTTACAGAACTCTATAATGTTGAGCCTGTGAGACAAACAAATACAAAGGAGATCGGGGTTTTTTCTGTCACCGTAGCTATTTATCAGAAGAGTACAGCTATATACTAGTACTGTACTATATGTTGTGTGTACAATATTTACTATAATTTACGCATTCATTCATTCATTCATTGACGGACAGTTAGAAAAAGACTTTAGTCTATGTTCTACTCTGCACGAATTTATAATGCATGCAACCCCGCCACTTTTTCTAGTACTGTATATACAGTGTACTCGTATTAATGCGAGTTTCACACTTTAGCACGCACGAGCTACATATGGGACATATAACTTTTTCCCTATTTTTAGGTAAGCACATTTACTTTTGTAGGCCTTATAATGCATGTACTTCTATCCAATTCACAGTTCATATTAAAAGGAAACTTCAAGTTAACATTTGAAATAAATGTTTATTATAATTATGTATTTTCAGTGTGAATAAATGGTTTGCAACGTTATTATCGTCACTATTATCAACGCCCTATAAATTAGAACCAAGTGGCCGTTTACCCTGTGACATTTCTATAACCGCCAACAATTGGATTTAAATTCATACGGGATTCATTTATATTACGCTCTGTATGGGAGTCTTCTATCTTATCCTACAAAGTCACTATTATCTTCCCATACTTTACGTTTTGGTCACTTTCTGTTGTTTGAATGGCTTTTCAACGTTATTTGGTTTCGTGCTTCGGACTTTATATTTACAAAGATTTATAAACAGTGACGGTTTCATACATTTAAACATGCTTGAAGCTTTGCGCTTCCACAATGTAAGGTTGGAAAAAAACTTTAAATGCATACATATCATGCAGATATAGTATATATCATTTATATATCCGCATCTACAGCGCAAAATAAACGACCCATCTGGTTCTCCTACAGAGTAAGAAATAGATGCATATCCATACTTATACGCGCCATCTAATGTTGGTTAACATTTGTATGTAATTTCGGAATTAAATACCAAATACCAGAATCAATATTTTCTTTAAAAACAGTTGATACGTTTACATAATGAACGTCAATTTACTTATTTGATAAGTGTATAATGGCTACTGTACTTACCATTTGTTTGCCAAACACCACTGTGGTTATTCGTGGCATATAGAAAGTAAGGATACTTCTTATATTTATCATACAAACAATGGGAGGTACCAACATCTTTAACAAACATCCAACCAGCATCAGCAGCACAGCCTTTATAGTTACTCTTATTTATGTAAAACCGTCTGTTGATATTAGTTCCCGCATAGCTACAATGTAAAAAATAAAATCAAAAGATTTTTTTTTTTAAATGTTTGATACTTCAGATGATATAAAAAGCATTTATAGCATAGTTATGTAGTATAGAAAAAACTTAGATTCAACTTCGCGTGTATAAACAAATTAAAGATATTCAAACATGTCCTTATTGGTTCGTAAACAAATGATGAATTTATTTCAATTCTCCCTATAGAGATATCAATTTAATTCAGATGAAAAAAAATACTTCAAAATTGTTCATTTGTAATATTAGATACACTGAAGTGCATATTAAAGAAAACATACGATGGATATCTTAAAACATCAATGTTCAAGATATCAAATCGTCTGTGTATCCATTAAATTTAATCAGTTTTACATAACGCATGGCAAGCAGACATTGTTGGGAACCTGGCGGATTTTTTATATTAAAATAAAGAGATGGTATGAAGAAAATAACGAGAGAAAAGATATGCATAGCAGATTTTTATTTTGTTTTTATGTTCCTTCATTTTTACTTCCATCTTTCCTGTTTTATAAATTTTCCTTGGCGGATGAGACCTCTACTTAACGTCGGAATTCTGAATTTTGATTACATATTATGTTTTGAATGTAAACAATTTGGTTGCAGGTTTTAAGGATTCAATGTAAAAGAACTAATTGCAGCGTTTTTGATCTCTCGAAAAAATATTACGGAATTAATGTGGTAAAAAATGAAAATATTTATATAAAGAATAACACGATAATAGTGTTGTTTCTTGACATTAGGTTTTGTCAAGTGCTTTAAGACTTTTAGAAGAGAGGCGAAAGATACCAAAGAGATATTGAAACTAGATATTGTAAATAAACTGACAACTCTATGTCTTAAAAAAAAGACTAACAGACAAACAGACAAACAACAGTACACAAAACACAAAACACAACAAAGACAACTACAGACTGAGCAACACGAACCCCACCAAAAACTATGATAATGAACTGATACACCATATGCCAGCGTTACTATTCCACTGCAAAAAAAAAATATTTGCATTTGAATCGATGATTTTTTTTCTCATTATGATATAAACGAAGGACAACATCAACTGTCTTCGGTAACGTTTTTTGTTGTTTTTTGGGAGAGAAGGGGGAATAAAAACACAAAAAAGATCTTCATATTGATGTATTGACAAGAAATTTTATAGACAGAAGAAAACAGATTAAAATATCTCCTTTTAACCAAAGGTCAGAGGATGCAGTCTAAAAAAATAGACAATCGTATATACAGTATATCAATCACAAAATTGAACTGCTATTAGAAAACATATACATTAGTTTATAACACATCAGATATCTGCCATCAACAAAGATTTCCCTACAGGAAAAACATTTTACTATCACTCGGGCGATGTCGCTTCTGGTGGACTATTAGTCCCCGAAGGTATCATCAGCTCAGTAGTCATTGTTTCGGTACTGACATGATTTATAGCATTTACTTATTTAAAATTCCTCGTTCATAAATTTAGAAATGTTTAAGAGACTAAGGTTCAAAGTCCATCAGGCAAAGTTGACATCAAATGAATTGATTATCTTTTTGGTCATAGAACTGCTAACATTTAGGCAAATTAACGAATCCACGGGCTTTCAAATATGTAGGTTTGAATGTTCCTAATAAAGTTAAATCCAAAAAAGCGCTTCGGACGCACAAAATTTATGTAATTAAGTAATTCTTTTCCATTAACTAGCACTGGGTCGAAACCGCTGCTAGTGTACTGTTAGTCCCGATGGTGTCATCAGGTTGGTGGTCAGTGCTTTGATATCAAAATGATTCAAAACATTTATTTATTACTTGTTTACAATTCATAGTTCATCAATTTAGAAATTGTTCAGAGACTTAGGTTTCAACTCCCTCAGGCAAAGTTGACAACATTACTTTGTTTGTTCATACATTGTATATATATGTATTAACCCTGCGTCTCAAACACACTGAGATCCAGTGGGCATATATATTGTATGGTTGTCACTTGCTTAGACTTGTTTGTATGATATACTTATTTCTAGTGACTGTATAATGAATTGAATCATTATCCCATACGGTATATAAAAATTGTTGAGTTAGATTGCTGACAAATAACAAATACATTGTGTATTAAATAATAATATAACATCTTCACACGCTTAAAACACATGTCTTATGTCTATCTCTAGATTCGCCTTACGTGACAAGGTAACACTACGACTATTGAAGTTATATTTTTATATAGCGGATGTGGTCGTGTGGTCTAGAGCGCTGGACATGAGGCTAAGCGATTGGTGCTGTAGTGTATCAAAGGTGTGAGTTCGAATCCCGTTGAGGGACAAAAATTTGTCAGCATAAAAAGTCTAATTCTAACACTGTTGGGTGTAATTTTCAGACTTATATATATATATATATATATATATCATAGGTTTGAACGTTGTTTTTAATTTAGACTTGTTTATATATATATATATATATATATATATATATATATATATACAAGTCTAAATTGAAAATATATATATAGCTCCACGCGTTTCACGTACTTATGCATTCCTGGGTTGCAAATGTTTAAGTTGGAGCATTCCTGATGAAGGTAGGCTAAGGTTCTAGATTCTTCAGGTAAAGTTGATGAAAGATGAAATTGGCTATTCTGTTCTTTATATATATGTCCTAACGTTTCAGCATATTTACGCAACACGTGGCTTTCAAATACTTAGGTTAAAGCGTTCTGATCATGAAATAATTCAGAAAAGTGCTTCGTACGCACGCAATTAAGTGTTTATATTTTATATAATATATGAATAAAGACGATCGCTGACTATGTTTTGAATTTTGGACTGTAAACAAATATGTTGCAATAGTATCTCAAAAATGCAAGCAAAAAAAAAAAAAAAATACATAAAGGCCCGTTCACAAAATTCATTACCATTACTTAACAGAATAGATGCATAACTAAGAATACAAATGGATTACGTGTGGAGCTAAGGAACAAGATAAAATACGAAACTCTGCCGAGGCTGTACATGCAGAATACCGCTGGTTTCTTTCAAGCTGCTTTAAATCAATGAAATCACTGTGTCTGTATTATATGGACCACATTAATAGTTGTGTGTTTCTGACGCAATGAAGACCTGACATGGTTATAACGAATATGGAATAAAACACACACATTTTATTCTAAATATCACGAATTGGTTAAGTGAAAAGATGCGATGTGTTTTTATCTCAACTCGCGAGATATTTTGCGTATTAAATCTTCAGACATCATAAACGTCGTCAGATCTATAAAAAAAAATACCGATTATGCGAGATTCCATATCATGACATTTTTTTTACTGCGTTTGGACTCGAATGACCAGTGATTCAAGCGTAGCAGAAGACATATACCCTGTCGACACAATAGGTCCTGCGGTTACACCTTTTTCAATAGTTTTCTTCCAAAATTGATTTAAGAGTGTTGGCATTGGCATTATACTGTTGCATCGTATTCATAGGTTCAAACAACACTTAACCATATATTCCGTTATGTTTACTGCATTGCATAGTATTCAGTTTAAACTGAGAACTGAGGAAAGTTGTGTCTTCCTGCATTTTGTTGTTGTTTTTTTGTCATTTAGGGAAAGTGGAATTGATGGTATATATTTATTATTCTTCGTTAAAAACATTTTCTATGACGGGTGATTGAGAACTCAGTACTGTTGAAGATAACCTGACAATAACATATTTGCTCTGGGCAAACAAATCGAAATTGTAAGTACTTGCTCTTATGAAGATCATGCAACTATCATAAGAGACAAATTTTTCAATGGTAATTTGTACACATTGTAAAAGAAATTAGAACTACTGTTAACAAGATAACCAAACAGTGTGTTTGGTTTCTATGTTGTGATGTTATACTATTGTTTCAGAAAAGGGAGAAGGTTTGGTACCATTAAAACTTTTAATCCCGCTGCAAATGTTTGCACCTGTCCTAAGTCAGGAATCTGATTACAGTAGTTGTCGTCTGTTTATGTAGTTCATACGTGTTTCTCCTTTCTCGTTTTTATATAGATTTGACCGTTGGTTTTTCCGTTTGAATGGTTTTACACTAGTAATTTTTTGGGGCCCTTTATAGCTTGCTGTTTGGTGTGAGCCAATGCTCCGTGTTGAAGGCCGTACCTTGACCTATAATGGTTTACTTTTATAAATTGTAACTTGGATGGAGAGTTGTCTCATTGGCACTCATACCACATTTTCCTATATCTAGACATTTCTTAAAATAAGACAGTTGTATGAGTATTAAGCTAATGGAAATGACCTTACCCTTTAGCCTTAAAAAAGGAAAAATTAGCGTTCACGTCCATCATGTCCTGATATGTACTCGCCAACAACCTGCTCGGTGCAAACCAATTGAATTTGTCAGTGTTTGTCCCGTTAAAGGTCATTTCAACAACTATACTATCCTTCTTCCATAATCTCAGTCGGACCTATTAATAAAATGACCGTCATAAAATATTAGTCGACTCTTGATAATTTTTTCGATCACTGATCACTGGTTTTTTTCACATCTCAATAAAATATACATTTTGCATTGTATTTGTACTACTGGCATTGTGGAAACATGATCAGTGCATTATCAAGTATTTGATATGGATTACCTAATAACCACCAACCAACAGCTCTGGCTACCTTCAAATTTTACCCTGCTATGAATATCATATTTTTTCTTTTATATCATTGTTAGTAGTTAGCTATTGATAGCTACACTATGCACGTTGTAACGTGTGTTTTATTTAATATTCGCTATATCGTGTAGATAGGCAAAAGTATGGGTGTGGGCACGAATTACCCTACACAATTTTGCGCTCGACAAATTCTGGCTATCTGGACCATTATTTTTTATTTCAGTGGTGTATCCAAGACCTTTTAAAAAGGGAGGTCCGAGATGACCATGTTGGCGATAAGGGGGTGTCAGTAAAAAAATCACAAATGTTTATCAAAAAAGAATGGGACCTCATCCCTAGATCAGTTCTTGCATTTGTTTGTATATTTTGTGCTAATTATTCAGAGACGAAATTCGGTATATTAACCAATTAGAGTCAATTAACCCTGGTCGAAATGTTTTCATGCGAGATATATAATTATATACATTCATTATCTTTTATATCTATATTAAAATTAACATATTTATTTGATTCTAGAATGACATAAAATGTATATTTACCTTAATAATTTGTTAGCAGTAGATGAACTTACATATTTACCTGGTCTATGCTACCTGACTGCCATTTATTGATATTAGGATCTGACTGATGCGATGTCTTACACGTGTCAGCATCCAAATATACACCAGATGAGTCAAAACTAACTCCAACATTATCTTTCCAAGCGTCCCATATTGATTTTCCGTTACCTGGACAGGCAACAAAAACCGTTGTCCAATCTACAAACATCAACTTCCATATTTTAATTAAATTGATAAAGTTAAACATCACATTATATTTATAATATACTTTCTGTGAGAAAAGTCATTGTTAAAATAAAATTCTATATTTGGGTATGCAGTTGATATAAATCAATTCTGACAACGGTCCATTGTCTGATAATCAGTACAGATGTACCAAGTTATGAATATAACAGTTGTTTTCCATTCGTTCCGTTAGTTAATGTGGTCGAGCATGGGGTTTGTCAGGTTTGTGGACCTCCCCCTCGTGTCAATTTATCTTGAAGTTCAGTATATTGATAAACATTTCTTTTTGATAAAACGCATTCCACCTGTCTATACATCAATAGTTTGTGTATGTAAGTAGATTAAGCATAACTCAATTATTGGTTAGAAATAATAAAATCACCAATTTTGTTCTCTTCTGTCTTGTTGTTAATTTATTTGATAATTGTATAGTCTATTTTGAACAACACTGCAAATGTAGTAGTGTAGCATCTCATCATATCTTGTATCCATAAGTAGCGGTTCTTGTTGTCAAGAGATAGTATCATGTACCAACAAGAAGGTTTTCCTGTTATCGACAAGATAATATTCTGTACCCACATGTTGAGGATTCGCGTCGTCATCAACCGGAAGCGACTTCATGTATGACCTCATCCATCGAGGAACCGAAAATGGAATTTTACATATGCTTGATAGGTAGTCGATATCTTTGATGGTACTATAGGGCCTGTGTGATCGTAAGTCACGTAACATATATCATAAAATATCATAAAATGTGTGAATCTCTGCCTTTTACTTACTTTACTTAGAAACAATTTCTTATGAAAGTAATTAGCATTGTTGAGGGTGCTTGCGGTTTAATGTAAATGCCATTTTTGTAAAAGCGTTTACTCTTTGCTGTTTGTAAGTTTGAATCAAAATAGTGCTGATCTGCTCCAGTTAGTAAAATGTTCTTATTTCACACTATTGAGGACTTTTCATTTTCAAGATTTATTTTGCAAAATTGTTTGACAAAATATTCAATCCGATACCTTATCGCACGGTTCCGCTTCTGAGCATCTTCTATTTTGATTTTGGAAGACTATTGTTTAAATTAAAAAAAATGTGGTCATAACATCGAAAAGGACTGGATGGTCTTCTTAAGAAGGTTGTCCTGCCACCTGCAGCCATCTTAATAATTTCCCTAAGATCGTATCTTTACAAATCCTCGGAATCCGACGGAATTATCCAAGTCTAGACCAATTACTGTCTCTTATAATAATAGTGATATAAGCAGAATCCCAAAAATGATCATTCTATACTACTTGTGGGAACAAAGAAGCCTTCTTGTGGGTACATAATACCAACCTGTGGGAACAAGATGCTATCGTGTAGGGTATGGGTTATTATTATGGGAATAGAATGTCATCTTATGGAGACAAGACAACCTTCATGTGAGTACAGGACACTGTCTTGATTGAACAATATGTCATCTTGTTGGAAGAGAATATTGTCTTTGTCTTGTGAGAACAAGATAACCATACAGGATAATAGCTTGTGGGGATGTTGTGGGAACGAGAGAAAAAAAAATTCTTGCATGTCCTCATTCTTCATTCTACCGTAAAATATATTTATATATCATTTTACCAGTAAATCGTTTGATAAGTGTTTTAACCATATGATGATACATGTACAAGTTGTATTTTACTGACCGATATGAACATTTATATCTGCATTATGCCCAAAAGAAAAACAAGTATAGCAGAATATACCTATATAATAGTACTATATTTCCATTATGTCAAATACAATAACACTAACCCACCAATTACTATCCATAATTGACTGTATCCACACTTGTATAATTATAAAACAAGAAATCAAACTTGATAAAACTAATAAATGTTTGACACGAAAAACTCTCTAAGTTATCTGCTATCTAAGGAAGATACATGAGACGCATGATGGCACCCAAATCACTAATCACATTAAGAATATATTTATAAACTAGTTTAATATGAACACATTGGAAATGAAAAATAACACTCTATAAATGATGTGAAAATATACGAGGCGCTATATTTATAACATTAAAGGGACCTTAAAAGAAAGTGAAGGTTAAGTTTCTTGATTATTTCTACATTTATCCACGGACAATTTAAAAAAAATTATGAATCAGATCAGCTTCGAGGCACACCATTAAATAGGCATCCCTTTTAGTTGAATGTTTAATATGGGAATTTAAAAAAACATCTCGAATATTAAAATTGATTTTCCCAGTGTTGACATAATGGTCTTCGTGTGAAAAAATAAGTACTTTACAATAAAAATAAATTTTCTATCGTTTCATTACCAAACAAGAAATAATAATATTGCTGCTAAAACGTGACCATATTACACATGTTACAACTGGCGTATCTTCAAAATTTCCTGCGTACTAATTTAATACGTACAATGTTGAAACACAAGATTTCTATGTTCTGTAAGCAGTCCATACCCCCTTTTTCTTATCCTTCTTTGCGAATAAAGAGATGAATTGACAATACATCTATTGATGAACTGATCATTTAGAATTACTAGCACCTATGAATTATTTTAGCACTGCCATCGCCTTTTGAGCATGGTCTATGATGAGATAATTTACAATCACCGGGTCGATGTAACTGATAGTGGAGGGTTCCTCCCCAAGGGTATCATCAGCCCAGTATTCAGCACTTTGTTTTTTTTTCCGACAAACGAAGGAGTTTCTACCCCATGAATCAATTACTTAAGCTGTATTTGGCAAAAAGTTTCGGAATTGTGGGTCCTTAATGCTTTCCAACTTTGTACTATATATGGCCTTTTTAACTTTTCTGATTAGAGCGTCACCACTAATGAACCTTTTGTAGACGAAACGCGTGTCTTCCATTCAAAATTCAAAGTTAGTTATATATGATGAGTTTGTGTACGACCACTGTTAAAATCGGTCTAGCTAAATAATGGATTGCTCCCTTACCTTGCGAGTAGGAGAGTCGATTACGGAGAGGGACTTAATTATTGGGGTTAATTTTTTGCTGAATTATGACAATACACTACTTTTCAACATTATAAAGCAATAGGAATAATTGACTTACGAGCGCAAGTTTTTATGCATCCAGGAATTTTTTCAGCGCATCCTGTAAAAAAGAAATTAAATAGTTCAACTACGATTTAATTTACAAAATAATTTATATTCAACCTATCTGTCTTAACAAAGAAAACAACTTTTTTCTCTTTTTATGGTAAATATGAAAGACAAAATATTTATAGCGAATGCATTACTGAACACGATGTACCCAGGAGAAAAACAAATATAAGAAAGGAAAAAACGAGATCAAACGTTGAGGACTACCACATTCAATATAGTTCATAAAAGCTGAACCTCTTCGTTTTTTTTGTTTTTTTGTTTTTTTTTGTGTAAATATATTTAAGAAGAAGAAGGGATATGGTGTATTAATTATTTTCATCACAAATCCCTTTATCTATTCAAATGAAAACGTGTGTCCAGTACCTTCTTTTATTAAAAGAAAAAGTCTTGTTTGTGAGTTTATATATTTTTTCTCATAGCTTTATCTTTGATTAACACTTTACGTGTTGAAGCGAAAACCTTTGATTTGATATTTTCCCGTTGAATTGCTTATTTATAAAAGTTTCCACATAAAACTCGTACGTACTGTTTGGAATCAACGTGTACAGATGGTGTAAATGAGTTGTTTCCGACTTTATCAATATTTTAATCAAATTCTGTTCTCCGTTCAGACCTAAGTGTATGATGACGTAGAATGTCACCCAGGTTAACAAATTGTATATCAAGTATATTATACTTATCCTCGATTGATAATACACAAAATGCATTTTACTTTTAATGGAAGTAATGGTTTCAATAATATAACATTTACCTTTTGAAAAATTATTCTTGCATTCTTTTACACAATCTTCGTCTGTATGTAAAAACACCAGGTGTCATTTGTTAGTGATAGTACGAAACATATATATGTGTGTAAGTATTTGAATAAACATTAATTTAACTATAATAACTGATTTTATTTTAAAATCCATAACAAAATGTGGGATAGTCTTAACAATACATATAATAATCTTCGTTTTAATGTAGAGGTCAAAACTACTACCGAAAAATGCAATTAATCTGCTATTTGGTAATAAAATAATTAAGATAGTGCATATACTATTCAAATCATTTCAAATCCTGTTAATATTGTGTTTGTTAAAACGATAATGATGAAGTATTAGTTAATTAATTGTTTGTAAATCCATTGAATCGTAATTTCTGAATAAATATTTTGGAACATTATAATACTATTATGGTTTATTAATTTTATTAGTTTAACTAGCTTCCAGTAACTTCAAATACTCTCAGGTCGCCACTTAGTCTTTTATAGTGAAGCTGAACTAATCTGAACAGTTTGCCTATTTTTGTGCTAAAACACCACTGTTCCAATTTATGGGATTAGATGAGCGCTCATAAAAACGTTTAATTTCGCTACATTCTTTACATGCCTTCTTAAATCGGTAGCCTGTAATCGAGTGGTTGTCGTTGGTTGCTGTCTGCTTTATATGTTTTGCGTTTGTTGTTTAAGCATAAATCAGGCCGTTTGGTTTCTCTTTTGAAATTCTTCACATTACGTCATCCCGTGCATCTACAATTGAAAGTTGAGTATTCTGTTGTATGCATTGTGTTGTCCTTTATCTCTCTCTCTCCATATATCCTCTAGTTTTTGCGATTATTCTCTCTTCTGTTAACCCCATCTATATTCTCATAACTGGCTAACAAGGTGAAAACAACACCAAAAAGTAGGTAAACTAATAAAATGCTATTACTTACCCGGCTTTCCTAATACTTGCTGAGTACAAACCAGCATAACTAATATCGAGAGATAAGCTACTATTTTCATGATACTTGCTGGATAACGAAATCGGAATACTCCAAAATAGACCCTAACCACAAGTGTATACTAAATTCTGCAGTGTTGGTACTGGTTTTATACCTCGTTGTTTATAACTATTATAGTATTATTGTAAGACGTTGATTTCTTTAGCTGATTGGAGATAGAAAAGAAACATATGAACTTGCTTTTTCTAGTTTGAAAGCAAAGGTTAAAAAAAAAAAATTAACGACTTGTATATGTCTAGACATTTTAATCGTTTCAGCTATATATATACATTGACGAGTTTTATTTTATACATTTGTATTTGTTTTGAATGACTGGCATGCACTAATGTTTCTGATTGAAACAAGTAAAATTTATTTTCAGCAACACAAGGATTTGAATGTGTGATTGTTTCAAAATTAGCTAATACGTTTTCTCCTTTCTTTTATCAACATCCTTATTATTCAGCATAATGTATGGAACGCCATAGCTGCCTTATGAAAGCGATAATCATACCACTGAGGGTTGAGAAATAACATAAAGCAAATTGTCTGTACTATTACGACATTTGACTATACTACTCTGTCAATTTGCTATATCATTAAGATAAATTTATATACTATAAAGACGGTTTGATTTAACATGGAGTTACCTTTTCATACTATTCTGTAATTTTTCTTTGTCATGAAGATATTCTTTTATACTATGAAGACATCTTGATATAACATGGAGCTACCTTTTCAAACTGATTTTTCATTTTACTACACTATAATGTGATATTGCTATATCATAAAGATACATGTTATACTATAAAGACATTTTAATATAACATTGAGCAACTTTTTCATACTACTTGGTCACCTCATGATGTCTTTGTAGTATATGACTTCATCATGGATAGTAATATGACAGACTAGTATGAAACAAATGCTCCATGTTATATCGAGATGATTGTATAGTATACAAATGTATCGTAATAAGATAGTAACATGATATAATAGTATAGTGAGGTGACAAAATAGACAGTTTCTTGTCTGATTTCAACAGTTTTTAAATTACATTCGTAATGAGAATTCTTGCATGTAAACTCAAGCAGATTATAATAGGTCTTACAGTTTCATAACTGTAACGGATATAAAGTGCAAGCAAATCTATTTTTTACATGGGTTCCTAGAATATTTTTCATCCTATGCAAAATAATCTTTTTCATAGGGTTTCTTTTGATAAAAACTCAGTAGTTTCGGATAGATTTTGCTAAGCTAATAGTGTTTCTTTTTCTGAGCTATAAAGGCCAATTTGGGTCTTGCCCACTACGATAATCTACCATCTGCATCAATAACTGATTGATGGTTTATCATTCAATTTGATTTAATAAATTTTATTTGCTATCAAGAAACCAGACTAGATGCAGGAAGGTCGCCAACTTGGATGGCACTATTGAACCCGCTTGCATGGAAGTGTCGCCCTTTAGGGGATATCAATGGATGCGGAATATTTGCGGTCATTTGTTTGTAATGAGAAGGTGGACATTTTTCTCGAACACTAGCCCTAAATTTCATGATGGGTAGCTCTTAAATGGAAGCAGTATAATATTAAAAAATAAACGATCTGTACTTTATTGTCAACAAAGAAGCTATTTATCTTATCACATTCAAAATTTGTAATAAAAAAAATATTAAAAAAGACGTGGATCAAGGGCTGGGGACATCCACTTATATCTGAAATATTTTTCATTTGACTGTTGTTCTAACGTATTTTTGGTGGGTCCTTCCGTCCTCAATTTGAAAGTCCTGGATTTGCGATTAAAATTTATCATAAATACGAACTCAAATTAAAAGACTCGGCTTCTAATTAAAACTTTAATTCGAACTCTAACTTGCAATTTAACGCGAACGCTAACTAGATTATTGACAATAGTCCTCAGAAATTTGATGAGCTATTCTTTATAGCGTATTCAGCCATTTGATGTTTGATTTTAAAATTCCGCTATAAGTTTTCATTTTCAAAAATGTATTTAAGTGGGCATATCTATTGATTTGATTAAAAGTAAATGGTCATGTGTTGTTAACGTGGTAGTTTTGTAGTTTTGAGTTAAAATGTAAATGCTATGATTTACAAGGTCCACAATAAATAACTCTTATATCTTTTTTTGGAAACACTAACTATATGTGCTATTCTATATCGTATTTTATTTGGCTTTCTTATTGTATTGATTGGAGCGCCATTAAGTAGTCTTTAAAAAAAGACCCAACGTCTGGCTTACTAAATTATAAGTCTGTTATCTTTAATAAGTGTTATGGTCGCTTACTCTTTTTTACACTTATGAAATTGTATAATACTTTTTAATGCTTGTATTCAAATGTTATAATAAAATTTATTTTCCTTTCATCAGCTGCCTTTGTTGCAGAAAATCATTGCTACTTTTCATAATAACAAATGCGTAGCATTCCAGTATAATCTTTGAGTCAAAGTCGGAAAAACACAAACTTTTGACCAATCTAATCATTCAAATGTTAATCTTAACAATGCCATTTACTGTAAAATGGTGTTATTGTATACTGTTTATATGTAGCAAGTACAAATTGAAGTCATGTCTCCTTCTTCATACGCGAATCGCTGGACTCAATCTTTTATCCGAAACCGTCAGAGCAAAATTGCAATTCTAAAAATCTTGGTAAATTATGTTACTAACATGACTAACAACAGTCTAAAATAGATTGTTAAAACCAATGCAGATCAAAATAAAATTTAAAAAATGTACGCTTACTTTAAGAAATAATTAATGGAATTTTAATTTACATTGATTTTTCCACGGGTTTGTCCTTCATCATGTTTATGCTAAATATTTATTCACGAGTGATCAAAACTAATAAATGTTACTAAAACATAAGCTTAGAGTGCTTCAGAGTAAGTTGATTGTCATTCTATCCTAATAGGACAAAAAACGGTAACTTTTTTTTGGTCAAGGCAAACATTTGCTGTTCCCGTAAATGAATTACGTAAAGGCGAATCAGTGAATATGTTTTAACGATTTACAATAACAGATTTAGACAGCTTAGGGTGTAACTAAAAGATTACGAAAATGTAATTACTGTGTGTATTTTTATCGAAAAAAAATCCTCCTTACATTACAATGACACAGTTAATGAAGGGGATTAGATGTGTATCGCTTTCAACAAATATGTGTGTAAGCAAACCACAAATAGATATTTAAGACTTAAATCGTTATCATTTGTATAATTTTGTACTTGATTACTGCACACAATTAAATTGATCTGATCTTTATTTAAGAACGCGAGCTTTCAACATTCGTTTCATCATCTGTTTATTAATTCATGTTTTAACGACTCACACATTCGTGCATTTTATCGTACAATGCTACGTTATTACGTCAGAGTTTTGATTGTTGAATGACATCATTTACGCAAATTAACCTCGGAACACTCATTCATCAAAACCAAACGACGTTGGAGTATGATTGGAACAGTCTAAAACAAACTATGACGTTGTTGATCAGCTTACATACAGTCAACGGTAGCATTTGAAGAGCGACATTTACGAATACCAAATAATACACTATAGCTCAAATGGATTTTGCTATTTCCAAATGCCAACAATGGGAAGACAACACATATCCACTCACATTTAACAAAATATTCGAAAGAAATATTGATAATAATGACTTTTCGTATTTTTCAAGAAATATTATAATTAAATCCTATGATTTAATAAAGAGATGGCACCGTCCACTCTATGGTAGAACTCAGTCGAAATATAAAATGTTTGCCCAAATCCAAACTCTGAATTCTTTTACTTTGTTTTTAGCTAGATTTTGAATGTATTTTATTTTAAACGTGCCTTTATAAATATAAATATATTTGAAACTTACCTTTTGTTAAGGATACAGACAACTCTCTTCTGTTTTCCTGTTAATACAAGCCTTATGTTGAAATATTTATACTAAATGGTGTCCAATAGAAACAACGATAATACCATCCAGCCTTAAACCACTCATCAATTTATAAAATGTACAAATAAAACGTGGACAAAATAAATGATATAAATAAAATACTTTTCAGAGCCCTTTTCATTGGTGAAACGTATTAGGTGTAAAATAGCATCAGTTCATAAACAACATATAAAAAAGTTTATCATTTCAATATGATATCGTATATACTTTTGTTTTGATTTCGCTATTACAGAAAAATCTCGATCCTTTCAGGGATTATTGAAAAGGCATTCTCATCTATCTAGTTAATGGAAATTGAAATCACAGTTTGGTAAAAAGAGATAAAGTGTCTTTAATACCTCATAAATAAATGAAATAAAAAAATGCGTAATATTTTGGAAATACATTTTTTTTTCAAAAACCTTTTTTTTTACGTTATCATATTGGTTGACAAATGAAAGTAATTATTAGACAAATTAAGGCAAACGTTCTGCAGATTTCTTTTTATACGAAATGGTCTTTTGCATAAAAAGTACACATACCGCACGCTGGAATGTAAATTTGACCAGGGCTGTAAAAAGAAAAGTCATGTTTACATTCCATACAACAAGAAGAATTTGTGATATGATTGACAATGAGACTACTATTCAACAGAGCCAAAATGACGTGTACGTAATTAACTATAGGTCGCTGTGCTGCCTTTAACAACAACCAAAAATGACCTAGAAACAATAGCCAAATTCACCTAAGGCCAACTTTGCCTGAAGGAGTTGAAACATTAGTTTCTTTAGAATTTCTAAATTGATTAAAAGACAGTTTTTGAAAGGTATATTTTAAATAAATTCAGTACCGAAGTATGGACCACTGGGCTGACGGTACCCACGGAAACTGATAGTCGACCAGCAGCGGTATCGACCCACTGCTGTAAAAATTAAAACGACACTACATGAATTTCATGCGTTCGAGGCACCTTTCTTGATTTATCTTCATCAGGAGCGCCCAAAGTCGAATGATACATACATTTCTTTAATAAGTACCATTCGGTGATGTAATGGCAACAAAGATTGAATTTGAATATTTTATGACATCCAAGCTCATAAGTCGAAAATAAACTGACAACACCATGGCTAAAAAAGGAAAAAAGACAAACAGACAAACAACAGTACACTAAAACCAACATAAAAAACTAAAGATAGAGCAACACGAATCCCACCA